CTGATGATGCACAAAAATGGTTTTGCACACCATCTGTCAAGTGTAAATAATAAATGCAGTAAAAGTAAAGAGAGAATTGGATGAGACAAGATTTATAGTGGTTCGGTCAACTCGACCTACTTCCACTCTTGAATGACTTTCGTTGTCGAGTACTTTATTAATTTAAGGGTATGGAGATAGAGAATACAAGCTTCGAGGGAGAATAGAGAATCAAGGAAGGTGTGGTGCCAGGCAATCAGTGTCCTTCCAAGTATTGATGGAGCGTGCAATTTATAGTGGCCCCCTAACAGGTTGAGGCTACTTTCCAGCGACTAAGCAACTATTTCGGTGGAGCTCCCGATCTCTTCTCAACGAGCGAGGTGGTTGAGGAGCTCTCCATGAAAAACGGTCAAAGATGGACCGTTTCCTTCGGTGGTGCAGATAAAGCTTCTCATGCTCTCCCCCTTGATGATGTGGCTAAGCAAAGAGTCTAACTGGTCTTTGACTATATTGGGCTTGGTGGATTTTTCATGAGGTTGGACTCCTCAATTGGGGTTTAACTTCTCACATAAATTGGGTTATTTGGGCTTGACCCATCAATTTCTATTTTTTTTTTTTCATGCAACTAAAGTACATTACCTAAATGAACTGGTTGTAAAACTAATCCTCCAATTGGTATGATTCTGCATTATCCTTTCATTCAGANACCACTGTCGGGCAGACCCCTTCAATGTGGTTGAGAATGCCCTGCATATTATTTCGTCTGGTACGTTGTGCAGCTGCATCAAAGTCTTGTAAGTGTTGAGGTGGTCTAGTGGATCCTTTGTTCCATCAAAGGTCTCCACAGATGGCATTTTGAACTTCTGAGGGAGGGGGTAGTTCGCTACATCAGGCTTGAAAGGTGTATCCGTACGCCTTACTAGGTGGTCTACAGTCTCGGGTCCCTATGCCTTCATGTCGTTGAAGACATCACCTAGTTGATTTTGTACTTCTTTGATTTTTTCGTCCCAATGATTGGGGGCTCCTCTGGAATAATCATGAAAATGACTTCCATGCTCGATGTTTTGGTTCTCGCCCTCATCCTCCTAGAGATGAAGGTCCTCTCCATGGTAAGCAAGAGGAGAGGGAGGTGGAACTCCCTTATGTTGGGCTCCCCTGAGTGGGGCGCCTAGGCATGGAGCAGCAAGGCGTGGAGCTCTTTGGTGTCCAGGGCGTGGAGCTCCTTGGGGTCTTCCATGTTGTGCACCTCCGAGTTGTGCTCCTCCTTGGGGTCCTCCATGTTGTACTCCTCATTGGAGTCCTCCATGTTGTGCACCTCTGAGTTGTGCTCCTCCTTGGGGTCTTCTATGTTGTGCACCTCCCAGTTGTGCTCCTCCTTGGGGTCCTCCATGTTGTGCACCTCCAAGTTGTGCTCATCCTTGTCCAACAAGCATGAGTTGCAGTAGCTGTTGGTTTTGACCCACCAGTTGCTGCATGGTCTTCAACATTTGTTGGGGATTCGAAACTGGAGCATTCGGGACAGGGTTGGCTGGTGGAGGAGCAACCTCCTCCTCTCGCGGTGGACTGTCTTCGTGTTGGTTCATGGATCGGGTAGTGATCGTCATTGGTTCAGTGGATGGAATGTTCAGGAGTGAGAATTTTGTCTTTTTCCCACAAACGGCGCCAAACTGATAATGCACAAAAATGGTTTTGCACACCATCTGTCAAGTGTAAATAATAAATGCAGTAAAAGTAAAGAGAGAATTGGATGAGACAAGATTTATAGTGGTTCGGTCAACTCGACCTACTTCCACTCTTGAATGACTTTCGTTGTCGAGTACTTTATTAATTTAAGGGTATGGAGATAGAGAATACAAGCTTCGAGGGAGAATAGACAATCAAGGAAGGTGTGGTGTCAGGCAATCAGTGTCCTCCCAAATGTTGATGGAGTGTGCAATTTATAGTGGCCCTCTAACAGATTGAGGCTACTTTTCAGCGACTAAGCAACCATTTCGGTGGAGTTCTCAATCTCTTCTCAACGAGCGAGGTGGTTGAGGAGCTCTCCATGAGATGTGGTCAAAGATATGGTGAGGGTGGACCGTTTCCTTCGGTGGTGCAGGTATGGCTTCCCATGCTCTCCCCCTTGATGACGTGGCTAAGCAAATAGTCTAACTTGGTCTTCGGCTATGTTGGGCTCGGTGAATCTTTAAATAAGGTTGAGCTTTTCAATTGGGATTTGGACTTTGCACATAGATTGGGCCATTTTGGGCTTGACCCGTCATATTTTTTTTTAAGAGTAATATAATCAATCAAAAAGTTTCATAAAAATTAACATTTATACATAAGGAATATATAATTGAAAATGATATTATATGTAATTTGGAGATTTAAATGCATAAGAATATGATGATAATTTAGATATTAAGTGTGGAAGGGTATAGTGACATTTTTAATTCTTTGTGAGAATAAAATAGTTAATCAAAAATTTTCATGTTAAAATACTTAGTTTTTCATGTTAAGGTACTTTTATTAGTAGTATAGAATAGATATTAATATATTTTAATATATTTATTTTTTTAATATTAGACCATGAAAAAATGTTAAGTTGAATCAGTATAGATGAGCGCTAGATATAAATTGATATTATTGATCAAAATTTAGATAATGTGTTTAAATTCATTTGAACTTGTTAACATACAGAGGTATGATTGCAGCTGTCTATTTATAATTATCAAAAAATTGATTGGATTATTCAACAATTTTTATGTTCATAGTCCATATTTGAATCCATCAAAAATCTGACTAATAAATTAGGTTGAGTCTTGGCAAAATTATATTTGAATTTTACATAAACTATTAAACAATGTAAATTGGGTTATAATCAAATGAGATATTAATATATTCAAATATGAATCAAAAAGGACATTCATTGATTTCCAAAGAAAACTAAACAATATTAAATTGATGAACGGTTATGACGGTTGTGATGAAAGAAAGTGGACCCATGATTGCTTGTACACATATTAATGAGCTGTAGTGGTTGACACAATAGCAATTCCAAATATTTTTCCATAGACTATAACAAGACCTCATTATTGTGGGTTTATGGTTTTTTGTAATGGGTGTGTATTTGATTTGCCTAATGTTTGTAGGAGTTGGTGGGTATTCATATCTCTTGGAGCCTCTATGGTGGTTGGGCATGGTCACAAGTAAGTTTTTTTCTTTCTCTGTATTTTAGCTCTGCTCATTTATCTTTGAGTCCTAAATGATTAGAATATTGCTGGCTTTTGCATGCTTTTTGGGGTTTGATTTAGCTATTGCAAATTGTGGTCAACAAATCTGAATTTGAAAGGTTTTTGGATTGTATAATGCGCCGTTGATTTGGTATGAACTGTCATTGGGTTTATCATTCTGAGCTTTGTTGATTTTTGGAATACTATGCCATAGGAGTTTGATAATCCAATGCCTTTTTTCTTTTTTGGAATGCTATGCCAATGGGATCACGAGTAATTTTTTTTCTTTCTCACTATTTTAGCTCTGTTCAATTATCTTTGAGTCCAAAATTATTAGAATATTGCTGGCTTTTGCATTCTTTTTGGGTTTTGATTTAGCTATTGCAATTTGTCCTCAACAAATCATAATTTGAGAACTTTTGATTGTATTCTTTGTGGATTGTATAGTGTGCCGTTGAATTGAAATTAACTGTAATTGGCATTATAATTATGAAGTTTGATGACTTTTGAGATACCCATTTTTGTGATTATGTCATTAGAACTTAATTGTCCAATGCTTTTTCTTTGAATACCACAAGGAAACATTCTAAAGGTTTTATTTGGTATTTTTTAATTAATCATGATGTACTTATCAGTTGCAATGTTTCATTTTTTAAAACGAGGTAGGGTTTCTGATAATGTCATGTGCAATGGGCTTTTGGCCATCCCCTGATTTTCTGCAAAATCGTCTTGTGATATGATTTGTGATGTAGTGATTGTAGGAGAAGTTGCAAACTTTGTGGCGTATGCGTTTGCCCCTGCGGTTCTTGTTACACCTCTTGGTGCATTAAGTATTATTGTCAGGTGCTTCATCTTGGTATTGTGTTCCGTCTCTTAACAATTAAATATGCTCAATGCTTGTTTTTTGTGTTTGATGGTATATTGTAGTGCTGTATTGGCTCACTTTATATTGAAGGAGAAGTTACATCCGCTAGGGATTTTGGGCTGCGTTATGTGCATTATGGGATCTGTCATTATTGTTATCCATGCGCCACAGGAGCGTCCTATCACTTCTGTTCAAGAAATATGGAGTATGGCAACTCAGCAAGGTTAGATTATACCCCGATTCTTTTCATTTTTCGTTTATATACATGTTGACACCTACACTTGACTTTCCGCGTTTACCTTTCAGCCTTTTTGCTCTACGTGGGATCAGTTATCATGTTGGTCTTTATTCTGGTCTTCTATTTTGCACCTCAATGCGGGCACACAAATGTACTTGTTTTCACTGGCATTTGTTCACTAATGGGTTCTCTCTCGGTAAAATTCAAATTCCAGATGCATATTAAATTTTTGGGATTCTGTATTCTATTATCAATGCATGTTTTTTCCAACATAGTATTCATGTTTCCCAGCATACAACAAAGTGACTAGGATTGGTTCCCTTAGTGACTGTGACCTCACAATTGATTAGTAAAGCTCATATAACTGGTTTGGACTGCCTTCAATCATTCAGAGACTTCTGCAAAGTAGTTTAGTCGTGATATTTTATTTCAAATGTAAGTTTCAAGATTTAGAAACTTTTTTGGTTTTAATAAGTAAAATGATTAAATCAATTTTGGTTGCGTTTGGCGTAATTTATCAAAATAAAAGTTCATTTTGGGGATGGACTTTGTAAGATTAACTTTTTAAGATGAACTTTCAAGAACTATTAATTGTTTGGNGTGGCCCTGCTACAGTCAGTATCTTATTATCTAAATTGACTTGCGTTGGAGGGAAGGTATGCTTTGTTGATAAGACAGAAGAGGGAACCATTACTTCATTCTCGGGCCACTGGCGTTTTTTTCGATTTCCTTGCGTTTTGATGAATAGGAATCACACCATGACATTCATACACACTTACAACGAGGGTNATTTTGTCTTTTTCCCACAAACGGCGCCAAACTGATAATGCACAAAAATGGTTTTGCACACCATCTGTCAAGTGTAAATAATAAATGCAGTAAANCACCATGACATTCATACACACTTACAACGAGGGTCTTGCCAATTTGCAACGCACGAAATCCTCATCCCCCTATCTGATCTTAATTTTATTTTTGACCTTATGAAAACCAAACATGGATTTCTTAAAAATTTTGAAATGAGTTATTATATATATAGACAATAATGGTGAGATTAGTTACATGGATGAAATGGATTAGTGAAACCATATTGGATAATTAAATTANGTTCAAGGATGAGATTCGAACGCGCGATTTCTACCTCTAACATCAGGTGCCTAGTGGATACCTCCTCATTTGAGTGCAAGAGCTTATATGCGAGGGGGGAAGACGACTCTCTTCCGATGTGGGATTGCCTTAGGAAATGGTCCTATTGGCGAAGAGAGGTAAAGGCTACTGGGGCTCGGTGCCGCCAGGTCAGCCGAAATCTTTCAAGTGGAGGGATGAGATCCGTAGCGATTTCTACCCCTTACATGAGTTATTATATATATAGACAATAATGGTGAGATTAGTTACATGGATGAAATGGAGGAACTTGATTAGTGAAACCATATTGGATAATTAAATTAATAAAAAAATTTAGAAAAATAAGGGTACTTTATTTTGGAATTGTTTTACGTCATTCTAATGGAGTGTTTTTAAAGTTAGTATTTTTGTATGATCATGGTATATCTTGATAGCAAATTTTTTGCGTAATCAAATGCCCACCATTAGCTATCCCTCACACACACACACACACACATATAATAGCTTACAAGTCTGTAAGAATCCTCACTTGTATCAAGATTTTTCAATTAGACTACCTTAGTTAATATTGAATTATGAGGAACTAACTTATTTAAATTGACATTTTTTTTTTGGGGGGAGGGGAGGAAAGAAGGGGGAGACAGGACTTGAACCCTTAACTCAAGAAGACAGAACATTCATAAGGTAAGAAATATCATTATACTAAAGGCTCGTTAGTTTATTTAAATTGACATGGGAGATCAAGTTAGTCCAATATTCAGTATAATTTTTCTTGTAGGAATTATGATGTTAAGGCTTCAATTTTATTCCATCAAACATAAAAAACTCAATGAATAATAATTGTGTCATTACTATGTTGCGGAGTTGAAAATGGTTGTGATTTTAAGAAAATACGCTGTATAAATTATTAGAGTCAATACCTCATAAATTAAATTACTTGAGATTATTAAATGCATACTGATGCCCGCTTTAAGCTTCCCCGTACCCAGGCCGTTACAATGTTCTTTTATTAAATGTATATTTTCTAATAAACACAAAGGTATATAGAGGTTAGTATCCAAAAAAATTTACATTCTTACTATGTGACCAAGACTTTCATTATGTAAAACCAAAACCCACATAAATACAACCAAGAAAGTGCCAATACCATCAGCAATAAAAAAAAAAAAAAAAATCTATTTACTTTATTTAATTTGGTATTTGTGTATACAATATTTGGTTCACAAGATTTTGATTCACCCTACAAAATTTTTGTCAAACTTTTCACCCAAAATATTCCCCATTTTTGTCATTGGTTGTAATTCTGATGTGTAAGATTGTTCATGGTTTGAAAATTAAAGAATATGAGGAGGGAAAAAGAGTATAAGATGGGTAGTTTTGTAGATAATTGTAAGAAATTTATAAGATGTTAAAATATTTTAACTAAAAGTGTGTTTTTTTGTGGGAACTCAATCCCACATCGACTTAATATATGCTAGTGTTAGAATGAGACCTTGAGACTCTCACATGTGCAGGAATGAGACAAGTGAAGGAAGTACAAAAACTCATTTTTTTAATCCCGCCTAAATGGAGTAAAATATTGACTAGTATTAAACCCACTTTTTAATATTTTATTTAATTATTTTTTAGTCATTACTTCTATATTAAAATTTCGGTTGCTGAAAACCAAAAAGCTCCAAAAGGCTAGTATTCCATCAGTAATTTTTTAAGTTATTATCTTATTAAATATCGAAGTAACTACGGAATATTAAACACCTATATTATTTGTATGTATGTGTGTAGACACACACACACACACACATACATACGTGTATATATATATATATATATATATATATATATATATATATATATATATATATATATTTCAGTATAAAATAGNACTACGGAATATTAAACACCTATATTATTTGTATGTATGTGTGTAGACACACACACACACACACACACACACATATATATATATATATATATATATATATACATATTTCAGTATAAAATAGATATAAAATTTGATATTTACTATCTTCCTATTGTATAAGTTTATGGGGAATACAAAAAGTGTCATGTGAAGCTTCTGCTTTATTTGATTGTGCAGATCCGATTGAACAAACAGTCAATAAGCTGAGTTGTTGTATGCTAGAGACAATGTCTTATTACATTCTGTGCTGTGATTCTTTCATAAAGGGGAGTGAATTGTTTTAAAAGAGCGACCTAGTCCGTGCCTCATCCTGTCATTCACTTTATTTTTTGCATCTCATTTTTCCAACATAAAATATGAGTCATGTACAACTATGTAATTTAATAGGAAATATGCACACATCGCTATTAGTAGTCCAAATTGATTTTATAATGTATCCAAGTTTACATTATAAAATAATTTTTTTGGTATTAGAATAAGAAAGAATTGAGTTGTTTTAAAGAAGTTCAAACACCTTTTCAAACACTAGGATTCTTTTGATGTTCCTATCTCAAAAAGATATTTACTCCCATTAATCTCATTATAACTCATGCCTAATGATGAACAATGTTGGCATATCTTTCTTCATTCATGGACGCTAAATGTGTCAATTCTACCTGTGGAATCTCAAAAACTCTAGGCGAAAATAATATTTGGAACTTAAAATTTCTTCAAAAATAAATGCATGGAGTGGACGAGTGATGCAAATTAGGAGGATACTCCATAATTCCGTAATCAAGGGAGCTGATACGATATGCGGAGGATTTTTAGGACGCCTACTTATTAGTTGCAATTCTGTTTTTTTGTTTGGATGGATTCTATTTATTTCTTTCCGAGTTTTTTGCTTTCCTAGTTGGAGTTGGAGACTGTAATATCGGATTGATATTTAAAGTAGGATGAAAATAATGAAAGGGGTTTTTTTTTTTGGACGAAAATGAATTTTTCCTTGGAGTGATTCCAATGTTACAGAGAGATTCTGTGTTTGCCCTGCTCTGGGTATTGACGTGAGGTTGATCCAGGAGTCTTGGCACCAACGAGATTTCTTGCGTACTTTAAATTTTAGTTGCTACAACTCTATTTTTCCCAGAGAGTTGGTAGTTATAAAGTAAAAGCGGGTCAAAACAATAGCTCTAAATATTTTGTTGAGCTTGGTTAATCTTGGATATGCAGAATAACATAAAAATATTTTTGATATCTAACATCACTACACACAACACAATAAAAACAAAAACATATAATCCATATCACGCAAAATAAACAACAAAAATATATATAATGAAGTATAATACAATTTAAATTTCAAAAGATAAATAAAATTATTTTTATTTTTTGCGATTGAAATATCTTTAAAATTTATTTTAAAATTAATTTAAGGGCTAATATTAACTCCCAAAATTTAATAAAAAAAAAAAGGTTTTTAAGAGTGTCTTTGAAGTGACTTATCAAAAAGACATTTAGAACTTATAACATTTCATAATTTTTTTTAAAAAAAAGTAGTATTTGGACACCACCACCACTACCATCATCATCGCCTCACAACCATCACCACTGCCACCACCATTGCAACCCCACCGCTACAACTACCCCCACCCCCATCACTCCACCACCACCACTGTCGCTCTCACCATCATCATCATCTCATTCTTATATTTATTATCACTATCATCATCATCCCACTACCACCGTCAACACCCACCACCACTATCATTACCCACCACCACCCACTACCACAACCTATCACCACCCATCATCACCCAGTATTGTCGTCCACCACTATCACCCACACCTATCACCATCATCTGTCATCGCCGCCACCCATTGTCATCCACCCCCATCACACCTACCACAACCGTCACTGTCATTCGTCACCACCCATCACACTGTCGTTTAGAAGCTCCTGTCATA